TAGAGACAGGTTTGAAATTTTCTGACACCACCGCTCATGACACTAAGCTACCATATCAACAATTGATAGGATCATTAATGTATTTAGCTGTTACTAATAGACCCGATATAGCTTATAGTGTATCTTTTTTAAGCCCGTTCAATTCGTGTTATACAATTGAGCATTTCAATGCGGCTAAACGAATACTAAGATACCTCAACGGTACTAAATATTTTTGTATTGTTTTTAAAAATTGTACAACACAAGTTTATTTAGAAGCCTATAGTGATGCCGACTGGGCAAACAATGCGGACAGAAAGTCATATACGGGCTATTTAATAACATTAGGAGGTAATGTAGTAAATTGGGGCAGCTATAAACAACCTTGCATCGCACTGTCGTCCACTGAGGCGGAGTATGTTGCACTTAGTGAAACAAGCAAAGAGGCAGTGTACTGTAGTGCTCTTATGAAGGAATTGGTACAGTATAGTAGACCTATTATATTATATTGCGACAACCAGTCAGCCAGCAAATTAGCTACCAATCCTGTGCATCACAGGCGCACTAAACACATTGATATAAAATTTCATTACATACGGGAAGCAATAGATAATGGTAAGATAGAGATCAGATATCTTCCCACTGATTTAATGGTGGCAGATATCATGACCAAAAGTTTGAACCGTGTGAAGCATGAGGGATTTGTTAATAAAATTCTTACTGCAAAAAAAATGTCTAGCAAGGATTAAGAGGGCGTGTTGTAAATCGTAATCCTGGCACATTTTTTTGATCACGTTTTGAATTTTAGTTTTCTATGTCTATTGTTTTTATATGTCATTGCTATTTATCTTGTCTGTGTGTTTACATTCATTAAAGAAAAGTGCTATCTTCAAACTAGTTTTTTCTCTTATATAAAAGGTTGGTGTCCCGATTATGCTTTTTCGGAACCCATCTCCTCCGAAGTTGTGTAACGGGACCCACCTTAAAGTCATCTCACTTCACAGACACACCATTGAGGCGGAAATTCTTACGGGTTGTGGCGTCGGCGAGGCAGTTTTTATACTACGCATTCCCCTCATACCTCATAACTTCCCGTTGCAGTTCAAGCGTGTACAGTTCCCCGTGAGTATTTGCTTCGCGATGACCATCAATAAGTCGCAGGGGCAGACACTGAGGGCAGCGAGTGTCGACCTCAGGACGAGCTGCTTCTCACACGGGTAGCTGTACGTCGCTTACTCCCGCGTCACCAGTCCTGACTCTTTTTACATTTTGGCTGTGGAGAGCCAAATCACTAATGTTGTTTATTGAGAAGTCCTACAAGTATGTATTTTTACCCTGTTTTGTATTCCTTATTCATTGTTTTCGCCATCTGCTTCAGTCACAACTTATGACTTAATTCAGCAGAATCACCATAAAGTCATTTTTTTAAAGCAGGCTTAAAACAGCACTTTTTGAATGTAAATTTTACTTAGTCTCCCTCTGTTACTGCACTTTCTGTAGATATGAAATGTAAAGAAGAAACGGATAAATGAATGTTATTTTAAAAGGTATAATTGATATTCGTAGATCGGTCGCTAGGTATTTTTGGTGCTGTATAGCGTTCACGCAGACGACGTCGCAGCGAAATACCACTCACTGGTTAATCATGAAATCTGAGAAACTATAACATCTACAAACTTAAAAGGACATCGACGAAATCGGCCCTAGCATGCCCAAAAGAATGTCCTTCACTATTATTTTTCTATTATTTTTTTAACTTATTAGCAATTAATCATTGTAAACGGACAATCTGTTTAAGAAAATAAAAAATTAAAGTTCTGTTACTAGATACTACAGTCTGTTCATCCAACTTGGCACTCCTTTTTATTGAAAATACAGCATTAAAAATCAACTGATAACTAGATTTAATAGGTTTCAGTCTATAATAACGATTTATTTTAATAGTTTATTGGCTTCGTTAATATTTTATTATTAAACGGGTGATTCTGTTAAATAGTTGTGCCAAGATTGTTTACCTTATTAAATGCAATATAGGCGACCATAAAAATAGAACTAGGTACCTTAGTCAATAATACTTATTACTAGTATTTATATTATATTTATAAAAAGATTATTTCTGAAATTATGTAAAGATAGTTTATACTCCCATCCCATGTAATATCTGTTTATTTTTATGAAAATCATATTGATAACCAGGTACATACCTAATTACCGATAGTAAAATATAGAAACAGGTAAATGGAAAGACTGAACATTTCATTTGAAAAGAAATCTATTATTACCTACTACAGGTAGGTATAGGTATCATAGGTGCCAACTGACAACACTCATAAATCAATATGAATATAAGCATTTATTATTTTTATTATTAATTGCATTTTATGTTCATTTAATGCATATTATTTAAGTGCTTACATAGAGGTAAAAACTAAATCTATTCAGAATATATAAAGTGTACATCTTTTACGATTAAGTATAATAATTATAACCTCAAAATCTAATACATTCTGTAGTAGGCCACGGTTCCTCAAGTTGTCCGTATCTCAACAAATGCTTAATTAGAGTTTATGAATGATTCCGAACACAACTAGCATTTTCTCATTGCTGGGCGTTATAGGGCATTCAATGTATGGAGAACGAGCAATGTCCTTTGATAGGTAGGTCCTTATCGGGTGTAGATATCCGCTAAGAACGTCGAATAAGGGGGTCGCAAGTTTGTATGAGAGTACCGCTTTTGAAGTAAGAGACTTGAAATTTAACATGTATGCTCTTTAGATGGTATAGAGGTGTACTAATAACGTATCTTTAGAAAAAAACCGCTTTTGGGGTCAAATAGTATGTGCAAATAACTAATTACCCGCGTACGAAGTAGCGCGCGGCCGCTAGTCAACTATGATAAAGTAATCTATGAAATAAAATAATATCGTAATATATTTCTTATCAATTACTAATAATCAGAACAAGTTATCGTTGGTTGTATTACAAATTAATTTAATATAGTTAGATGGTGTCTCAACCATAGGTCGATGATAATGTTTTCGAAATACAACAGAGTTCTTTGACCATCCCGAAGCTGATCGTATAAGATCTATACTCATACCCGACCGACTCGCAGCAAATTTTGATGCATGTCTTGTACTGTGAGTTGAGAAGATAGTTGTATCTATGCTCGCTTCTTCTAAAGTTACGACTTATACGCAGCTTTCCAATTACAGCATTATAGCGCATTATGCGGCATAATTAAGCAGGTCCCATGCTATTGTGTAGTTTCCAGAGGAAAATTCTAAAGATTTTATCACCTGACTAGCACTCCCCGTTAAAGCAGATCGCAAATAATGACATTTCTGTATATCATCAAGTTGCGCTGAATTATGTATCCCTAAACTCTAGCCACGTATTGTATGACCCGTCAAATGTAGGTAATGTGATAGTAGGCAATTTAACTAACGGATTTGAATTGCACTTGGATTTGTCACTAACGACCGAATTACTAGCAGTATTCTGCAACAAACAATCAACTTCTGTTAAAACCTTATAGTAGGAATTTTCAAAAGACTCCCGTATGCTATTTATGCTATATTTGCTGAGATAATTCTTTTTCCGAGATTAATTCCTCTATGGAACTTTGAATGCTTTCAAAATCCTGTATTAAAGATTTAGCAGCATTAGATCTCAATTTTAATTCTTTTAACTGCCTATCGTTTAACGGTTGGCTATTAAAGGAGTTTACAAATTTCGTAAAAAGTGTCAATATTTTAACCTTTGATTGTTCCGCGTTTTTTATTTAAATCGTGAATCACATTATCACTGATATTTTCTAAAACCGGCAAAGGAGACTTGCTACGCACAGATATCCTATCCATATTTTCTACAACTAGACTCATTTTAGCACTTTATGAAAAACAAGGGTACTCACGATTTTCTCTGGAAACACCGTGGCTTAATCACGCGAACCAGATTTGCGAGAGTTCATCAATCACAGTTTTAGCACAAATACGAATAGGGAAAGAAAGGAACGATACGACCAAACCTCTGCTTCTCTGTTTTCTTTTTCCTTCTCTGATTCTTCTTATATTATTCGGCTCTGAAGGTCCATGTATATTTTTCTTGTATTTGTTGAGAAAATAAAGCGAACTTCTCAATAAATAAATAAATGTATATTTTCAACTTCGTTACATTAATTGGAATATATACATGTGTAATCTTAGAGTCGAAGTTGGGCTTCTTGGTCAAGGATGTGCTCCGCCACTCGTGCGTTCGGGTTTTATATTGATATACAGCGCCATCCCGTCCGTTCCGGTGATAACTGCTTCCAATGGTGACAGATTGTTGCCAGATGAAGTACGCTTTTGTTCGTGCGTTGTTACGTCCGGTCGCTAGATGGAGCTATTCATGAACACTCATAAATTAAATAATGTGGATTAATATCCAACTCTATATTATTTAGTTCTCTTAATAATATTAATGTTATGTGATTTCTTACCTTTAATAATCCCGATAAAGTTAGAAATCTATTTATTAACAGTTTACCTTACGCCGGTGTTTGTGTGTTTGTTACCCAGAGTTGTGTATATTTCTTCACTTTGTTGTATGCTTGATTATCACAAATAGGTTTTAATACACAAAACACTATAAATATTGTAAATAATCACTAAAACCTTTTTATTTTGTTTATGATTCATGTGACATCGCTACGCACAAAAAATGTAATGACATTCCAGAGTAGTATAGCCATAGACAAAACATACCGGTGGGGGCAGATGTTCGTGTGATGAATACGAGCAGTTCTACTCCAGTCATGAATGTTTAATATGTATTTCTACATAAGTATACTTATATATGTACAATATATGTATTCTATCCGTTACCTTTTTTTTTAACGGTGGTAAATGCTTTACGCATACCCCGTGCACCCCAAAGCACGGAGTTATGTCGGACTCTCCGCGGCTTCTGGGGGCAGACAGAATGCCCTCCAGAAGGTGCCGTTCCGCGGTCTACCGACTAAATCCCACCGATGCCTCTCACATACGCCTTGGCGCGAGCACGTCCATCACCACCGCATCCTCATCGTCTTCTGACGAAGAGGACACGTCGGGGAGGGACGCGTCGCTGCCGGACAAGGTCATGGGAACTCGCGAGAACACATCCACGACCTCGTCGGCGTCTGCTCGCCTGTGGCGAGCCCCACTCACCCCCCCAAAATGGGAGGGCCGGTGATCCCCCGGGGCATTCAGGGGATCAGCGACTGGCAGCAACCGGTGCAATGCAGGGCCCGGGCTTCCCAGGCCTGGACCCCGCTGGTTACCGCCAGGAGGAAGTAGGCGGGCGTACGTCCGCCTCCTCCGCCCTAACCTTCGGTGCCGCAAGGAGCGGCCTCTGGGTCTTCTTCCATGGCCCTCTCCGCGTCCTCCTTCTGCGTCATGACGTCGACACAGATTCTATCCGTTACCCTAGTATCCCATAACACAAGCCTTACAGTGTTTACTTTGGGGCTAGGCTAATTGGTGTGAATGTTGGAAATATTTATTTATTTATTAATATTTTGTTACTTTTTTTTAATGTAGCTTTGAATAATGTGACAGTCTTACTACACGTAAAACCCGTCTTCGAGAAGGAGAAATATAATTAATGTTATTTAAATGTGAAAACGTAAGACAGACAGATACAGTCCGCCTTATTTTTGGAATAACGTGGACTAAAGTTAATCTCAGTTTAAACCTAATGTTGTCACTGTCTTCTTTTTACCAAAATTAAAGGTTTAACTTCAGTCTACGTTTTGTAATAAGGCGGATAAATTTTAGCAAATATAATATATGTATAAATAAAATTTATGTTAATTACCTCTTTTTATCATTTTGGTGTAAGTGAAAAACAAGATCCAAATACCTACAGGTTTATCCAACCCATATCCAACCTCACCAACGCAACTTAAAGGCGCATTTATACGGTTGATTTTCTGGTAAATTTTGATCGAACAGCTACGCTTGTACTAAGTACTAAGGTGACTTTAAATATTATCGCGATCGTCATCTGTCGTTCTCTTTAATACATTGGTTTTAATGCCGTAGAGTAGGACCCAATATGACGAATTTTATTAATATCCTTTATTGATTTTAAGACTACATACAGCCCCTGGCCGCATGGCGTATCGCATCGCTGTTTTAAAATGGGTTTAGTCACTTGTCGCGTAATATCCAATTTATAGTGCGATTCAAATAAGAATAGGAAAGCCAATGACCTCCATCTGCCAAATGTCGCTTGAAAAGTATGGTTTGCAAAAAAATCTCGGAACACTTTTTTAGCACTCAGCTAATTCTAGAATAAAAACCAAAGATTTTTAAACAAACAATAACAAATTTTGGCAATTAATATTGGTTGATATTTTTTTCATTTATTGGGCTTTGGCTATGAATGGTTGATAACCTAAATCGTCAACCAAATGTCACTTTATTTTGCGTTCCGAGACTCGATTTAAAACTTTCGTTTACATATAGGATGCGTGTTTGTATGTGACCTGCATCTCACACAGTCTTAATAAAGAAATATTAATAAAAATCGGTATTTTTCTTTTAGTCTTAGTAAATTAATTTTATTAAAAAATCTGATGTAATTTCCCACTTAATCTTAGTTCATAAGTTTTATTAAATAAAAACTTTTTTGCTCACTCTACCTCACAATATAGCGCCCAGTCGGTCCTATTCGTAGTTGAATGGCATTATACCTACATAGTGTAAATGCGCCATTAGGAAATATTTTATTTCACTCAATTGCATTTTAACCGACTTCAAAAAGGAGGAGGTCCTCAATTCATCACTATATTTTTTATTTATTCTCATATTTAGACATACCATGGTGAAGGTTTGTAAAGAAACTGGTGTGAGTTTAGCCGCAGTCAGAACGATCGGCTGTTGAGTCTTAGCTATGAAAATTATCAGTTTTCGTTTAATTTTAGTCGGCGTGTTGATCCAAGGACTGGCATATGCTAGGGTTGAGATGGCGACGCTCTGAAAGCAATAAACAGATGTTTTGTTTGGCAAGAAAGATTTAGGTAAGTTATATTAACGACCGAATTATTTGCCTCCGTGGCCGATTGGTTTGAACGCCGGGTTTCATGGTGTCGCCGACTTGAGAGCTCCCGGGTTCTAATCCCGGTGGGGGCAGATGTTTGTGTGATGAATACGAGCATTTTTACTCCAGTCACGGATGTTTATTATATATTACTTTATAAATTTACTTATACATGTACAGTATATATATTTTATCCGTCACACTAGTATCCCATAACACAAGCCTTACAGTGATTACTTTGGGGTTAGGCTAATTACCCACCAATTGGTGGGTGTTGTAAAAAAATGGTTTATACAAAATATAGGTATGCTTGGCAAAAGATCTAACCTAAACTTCTGGTTTCCGGTAAAATATGAATTAATTTTGAAACCTTCATTACTCTCAAGCCTTACAATAATAACAATAAAATAATAACAAGTCTTTCCGTTATCTAAATTAATAAACTATTCTGAATAATATTCGTAATCACAGAGACTAAAGAAATCAACGCTTGCAAAATAGTCAGTATAAGAAGGCAAACTCCAAAATATTGCACAAACTGAATCAATAAAAGCATATTTATTTCTTAGTTTTCACGCACACCACTCATTAAATAAAACAAGTTTCAACGGTAAAGATTTCGATTTCTTTTCTCTCTCTACAAACGGTTGAGCTGTATTGATGTCCTATTCTTGATAACAAATGCCGAAAAAGTAATTAACATTCATGACAAACCGTGATTTTTGAGAAAAAAAATGTTTTCATAGTTTTACGAATGAAAAGTGTTGCCGTGAAATTTAATATTTGATCTTGAGCTCCTTCTGTTCTTTATAAAAGCAGCGGAGGGCTTGTTTTATCTTTATAACACAAATTATATGCAATATTGTAACATTTAGTGCACATGCAGCGTGTTTGAATGTCCAATTGTGACTAAAACGTATTTGTGGCCATGCACCACAATTTAAGCGGATAACTTTTGGGCCACGAGTGCCGTATCTTCCTTCCTTTATTCTTCCTTTTTGTTTTAATCTTAGCGTTTCGCATACTTTTCAGGCTGCGTCGTCAGCATGCTTGTTTCTTTTGGTGTATTATTGTTGTTTTATTTATTATCTGTGTCATCAACCATAGGCCCTGCCAGAATTATTAGCGCTGCAGCAGCCCTGGTGTTGCTGTAGTATTCAAGCTGAGGCAGGGACCTAGTAGGCCTATTTTTGTCTTGTTTTATTTATGTTATGACTATGTTTAAGGCTAATAAATTTATTTCTATTCTATTTCTTTCTACTCTAAACCCTCAGATTATGGAAATTCTTTCAAATAATTATTTTCAGATTATTGGTCAATAATTTTAGGGCATCAAGATGAAGCGACTGTTTAATAATGTGACTCGCTCGAGTATTTCAAGGTCACGATGGTTTTGCAATTTAAAAAAGCGGTCTTTACTTATGGTCCCGTCCAAATCGTCAGTCGTTTGAATGGGAGCTACTGGAGGGTTTGCGTAACATCCCTTATCAAGGGCTTTTTTTATTCCACTTTTTTACCCCTTCGTACCATGCAAACCGGCAGATTAATACTTTCTCGTTATCAAAACACGTTGGGAGTTTACACTATTAATATCTGACGCGCTCGAGTATGTCTATGTGACTGTTTTTTTTTTACAGTTTTGAAAACCTCTATTCGCTCCCCTCCTGTTAAATGGTATACCGTATATAGTTTTATTTTTAGCATTTAACCTTAATAATCCAAAAGGATCCAACGACGCTCGAGTAAATCCCTATTTAGCATTGTGGGCTCCCCAACTATAAAACGGAGAAAGGATGTAAGATTTTCCTTAATTTTTAGATATGGGCAGCCATCTATTTTAATCAACTATTTTAAAAACCGTTGATTTAAATTCATTCCAAGTATCTTTTTATTCTTTTTTCTTTGATAAAAAAAACTGTCTGAATGTCTTAGAAAAATATTATTTAAATCGGCATTTAATAATTGTCTTCTGAATAACATTTTGTACAATTTATAGAGAGAAATTCAGAAGATTAAGTCAAGTCAATATTAGTAATAACAGGTAGCCGATATAATATATAATACTTAAAATTCAATGATATCACAAACAATGTCTTTGATTTACGTCATCCATTAGCGATACCTATATTATGCCCGAAATTCTAAATATAAACTTTGAAGCATGACACACATTACTAAAACAATAAGAAGGAGGCCTCAGACCTTAGCATCCAGGTCAGCTATTATTTCCACCGCCTATTCAAGCCAGAAATGTTCAAACTCCGCTTGTTTCGGGAAAGCTGCACAATATGTAGCAAACAAGCGATCTAACAAGGCCTGACATCTACTTCGACAATTACCATACAAAACGGTACTTTGATAAATCTATTTACATGGTACTTATAGGCTTTTAAGATGTTTCCCGCATATTTTAACTAGATTTAGATTTTAATAATCTCTCTGCATGTCGATTATCTTAACTTTGAAATGATACGTCAAAATACATTTTGTAACCCCTGCACAGTCGTACCGGTTCTTTTAAACTAAATCTTTTACCCACAAAAAGCCAGTCGCATTGTAATTGTAACCTCACAAAGGAATTCGTACAAGTACCTACTACAGTTTGTATAAGTAAAGCTTAATTATTTTCACGTATTTATAATAAGGAAATCTTGTATTATTAAGGTAAGACTGGAGATCCAATCGGCTCAACGCACGCCCAACCACGCACCTCGTTTCCCCCCAAGACATTTTAATTTTTACTTCTGCGCAATAACGGACGGAGTAAGAGTTTCGTGTTTGAAATCAGCTAATTACAATTAGCTAATATATATTAATTTATTATATCGAATACCAATACTTATATGTAGCACCTACACGGTTTAACACTGGTAAAATTTGAAGTCAGTATTTCTGCATAGGTCAAATTTTGTGTTTGTTTTTGTATAGGCTCGTGGTTTACTTCGTTTCTTGGTGCATTTTTTGTGACACTTCTAGTTCATGCGTTTTTTGTGTTAATTGTTTGTGTTTTGGGTTCGTTGTTGTAATCTTGTCTTTGTATTGTTTATATTTTAAATATCCTTTATAGCTTGCTGGGTGTTTCTCTTGGCAGTTTATACAGGTGGCTTACGTGTCGGGTTTTTCAGTGTATGATGTGGCGAGTGATCGTTACCGCATTTGATACACCGATAGGGTCTGAAACATTGATTTTTTGTATGTCCGAAACTCTGACATCTCTTACACTGGAGAACTTCTGTCTTCTTATAGGGAGCTTCGACTGTCATTTTTGACTGACATAGGTATCTTAAGTTAAATATGTCTCTATTATTGTTTTCAGGTTTTAGGTCAATATAAAATACTGGCAGTGCTTCTTTAGTGGTTCTGTGTCTAACGTTATCAATCTGTATTACCTCATGCTGGTGATATTTGAGTCCGGATTTTATTTGATCAACGTCTTCTGTAGCGTGTAATCCTCTAAGCACAACACGATATGCTCTTTCGCTTTTGACCTGGTATGTATGGTGGAAGATGTTATTTTCAATAAAGTTGTCCCTTATGGTTTTATATGTGGGTATGTCTGTAGGTATAAGTTTGATTACATGTCCAGAGGGTAAGGTAGTCATAGTAAAGGATTTGCTGTCAACTATTTTATTGAGCTTTTCTTTAAGGATTGTTACATTAATTACCCCAGTCACAAAGATTGGCACTGGCTTAGGAAAATAGACCTTTTCTGTGGTATTGGTGTCTAAAGTTTCAAGTGCTTCAAATTGGTTGAATTTGGCACTGTGATAGAATATGTAGATTGACTTGCTTTTCATTTTTTTTGGGAGATGTTATGTATTGGACTTATTTCTTTCCTCTTTTGTCTTTGGTGTGGGACTGCGTCCCTTTGCCATGCATTTTCTATGTGTGTATCAAGCTGATTCTCTTGTGAAGCCTTTTGAGTGTCTTTTGTTTCATATGATTTGTCATCTTTATCGTTTGCGTTGCCTGTCTTCACTGCATTTGAGGTTGATTGTGTACTATTACAACGGTTTCTTATATACATGCTTTTATGAAGTGTTTGCTGTATTAAGTTATCAGAGTTAATTTTTATTATTTTCATTCATATTGTTCCCACGAGTCAGGTCGAAATAAGTGGTCACCGAAGGGGTGGGGCTTATTCCCTTAAGAAGGCATTATTCAACTACGTTTGCCAGGTCCACCAAGGTTGGCGCTAGTGACTTGTTCTCCTACAAGCCATGCATCCTGTAGGCACGTTTCCCACCTTAGGATTAGGGTGATTTTTTAAAGAGGCTTTCTACCTCTTGACACGGGCAGTTAAGCCAATGCCCCCTATTCCGCGAAACATGACCACGAAATTACGGGTTGTGAAGATCATTTCCTAACTTCTACAAGAGCTAAGTTGTTAGGCTAGCTAGGTCGGGTTTCTTGACCGCCGTCTAAAACTCGGCGTTTGTTACTCATTTAGCACCACCCGGAGGACACGTGTAGGGTGGGCCTAGGAAAAGGTGGTAACTCCTACGAACGCGAGTAACATTACCCCCCCCCCCCCCATTATGAACAAAATTAAAATCCAAGAAAGAAATGTTATTCTCCAATTTAAAAAAAAGAACGAGCTAAGGATACTTTTTTAAAATGTTTCTAATTCGTTTAAGCGGCCAATAACAGAAAATTAACTGCTACATGTGTAAGACTCATTTTGTAATTAGAAGTAAGATACGTTTTATATTTTCTTTATATATAAATCGGACACCCGAAGCAATATTTACACAGGAATACGGGCTGGAAGACGGGGTCGGGTAACCAAAACGAAAACTACCCTATATTAGCTTGTTGCTGATGATTAATGTTTCGAATTTTATAAATATGTTGTTTAAATACTTAGATTTATAACCTCTGTGTTTTTGTTTCTTTTACAATGTTACTTTACTACACGACTGTATTTTACCATTCCAAAGAATTAGCCAAATAGTTAAGAGCTCCAATAGGTCCTATTGTATAGGTAAGTCCATCATTGAGGATCCAAAGGGCACCATGTTCTTGATTGGAGGTCGGATGGGTACTATCATGTTAGTAAGTACCAATAATGTGGGTCCAATGGGCACCAAGTGCTTGATAGTGGGTCGAATGGGTACTTTTATGTAGATAAGATGCGATTTTATAACTAATTTTATGGTAGCCAATGTTAACCGGCGGTTGAAACGTGTGACGTCACAGAGCTCGATCGTGGTTGACTCCATGAACTTTAGTAGCGTCTCTACGTACGCTCGCGTCGAGCGCTAGAGCTCTGTGACGTCACAGCCACCACGCGACTAGCCGAAAATTCGTTTAGTAATTTGGTCATAACTCCGTCAATATTTGTCGTAGGACAAAAATTTAACCACTGTATTTTATGGAACCCTTTGCTTTATAAATTAATCGTTCTCAACTAAAATCGTTACGGATCCACATTAGTTACCTATTCGAATGTTTATCAACTTCCAGAGCTAGCTACTTATTTACTTTGTGGTGGTATACTTTGGATTGAAAACTTTTTCAGTATCCACTTTATTCATTTTGCTTTCACAGCGCTATACTAAAATTTATGTTAAACATGTACTTAATATTTTTTTTTATACATCTATCATAATTAAAAAAAATATTTACAGGTGACTTCAGAGTAGAAGTCTTGTCTAAACATTAATGGAAATACACTGACAGGCAATATATAAAATTTTTACCTAATTTAGATTACTGTTCCTGAAATTGTCCAACATTATTTTAATCTTTCTTAAATTGATGTAAATTGATGTTGTATTTTACTTTTACTCAAGTGTAAGGCATTATAAAACAAAGGTCACCATACATTATTTAACTCTGCTCAAGTAAAAAAAAATATCAAAATTAAATGGTTAGGTAGGTACTATTAAAGTTAGATATTTTGGCAGCTGGTAACTTGAACCTAAACCTAAAAAACTTTAAAGTTTCATAGGATTTTTTTAACAAATGTGGATTAGTTATGTTTTTTTTTTTATCATTTAACTGCTAGATGTTTAAATCTAACGAAAAGAATACTAGAAAAAAATCCACGTGGACCAGGCAGCAGACGGGACTTAAACCCGCATCCTTCGCTATCAGGGCGAATGCACTGACCATTATGCTACCGCGGCCCTTTCGACCGTGTCGAATTTCTTCTAGCCTTAGGCTGCGAGGCAGCGCCATCTCTTCTCATTGTAGGTAACCCACAATATCAAATGAATACTTTCACAAGTATTAAATATTTGAAAGACGAAATAGCAAATATACTTATATATGTTTTTATTTCTAAGAATTTAACTGCTAAATATTTAAATCTAAAGTAAAATTCACTAGAAAATATGGATTAACTCGAGGGAGCTTAATAAATATGAATTAAATGCGCATACGATTGTGTCATGAGGGGGGGAACTGTTTCCCGATTTGAGGCAAAGTTACCTCCGCCTCCGTGAGCCAAAACAAAATAACTCTAATTGATGACCTCCATGGCTCGGGTGGTACGTATGCCGGTTTTCAAGGTGTCGCCTACTTTACTTTCCTTTTCCCAGATTCGGATTCCTGTGGGGCCAATGTTTGTGTGATGAATAGGAGCATTTGTACCTAAGTCATGCAGGTTTATATGTATTTCTAAATAAAAATTTACTTATTATGTGTATGAGTATATGTATTCTATCTGTTACCCGTGTATCCCATAACGCACGTGTTATGGGATATATATATATAAATATATATATCTATAGATATAAGGCGTGTCTTACAGTGCTTACTTTGGTGTGTGTTGCAAAAGACTCAATTTTAGATTCCTCACCTTATCAGTAATAGCATTTCCGAAATAGCAGTCCGCAAAAAGGTTGCCTACAATGATAGATACGAACACCAACATCCAAAGCAACTCTGTTATATGTTTCCTAGGTGACTCAATCTGCAATCAAAACAAAATTATGTGGGTAAACTTTACTTAGGGTGGTCTTATGGCCTCTTTCATATATATTTATATTGGATTAGACTGATGTTGAGTGCGAAATCTTTAACACTTCTAAAAATATTTTTTCAAATAACCTATGTCGGTGTTGAGTATATAGGTTCAGGCGTAAAACTTAGAATAGGTAGTTTACAACAATGGACATATTTAATGTTGGGGCAATAAATGGCTTACACAGCAAAGTGATATTAGTATTCAATAAGCGTGGTGATCCAGCATATCATAGTATGATGACATATGAAATTAGCAATATATTAAACGTCTAATTTTGCCTTTTTTAAACCAGCTTATATGTTTTTAATTCTCACAATAGACAATAATTGAATATACATACGGATAATATTTCTATAGCAGTTGTACAAACTATGATAGCAGTCATAAATAGTGACAATGTTAGTTGACCTCCCAGCACGGATTGCAACACCTTCGAAAACCTGATAGATACAAATAAGTTTAGTAGACAATTACAAGGCCTAATCCATTTAAAAATAATTATAAAGTCATGCCATCCCTTGCAAGGATGATACAGAATTAGGTGCGATAATATATAAAAACTTAAAAAATTACAGCGTTAGTTAAAAACATAAGGCTAGCGAACTGGATAGTTTTTATTCGAAAGGAAATTAGAGAAAAGTTAAGTAAGTGATTATTACATAGTTAGAATTCCTATAAGTGACTCCTTGTAAGTGTTTGCTCGTATACCTGTTATTTGTTGTCGTTATTCGCGTACCTAAAGCGGTTTTAATTAACATCGCATTATATTAATTACCTAAAATAATGTGATGTTAATATAATGGCCTTGGTATTATATTTCGTATAAGATTATAGTACAGGCTTTGTTATAAATTTCACTCGCGTTTTATGGACATAACAAGAACGGGGGCCTATTATGTATTCGTAATTGTGAAGAGAGAAAGGATATGGTAAAGATTTGTATGAGCGACTGCCCTGGCAATGTATAAATTCTGTTCTTAGTAATATTTAATGGTAAATGACTGAATATTTATAATTTCTATGAAAAAGGGCTCAGGAACTTTTGATAAAGTCACAACTTTGAAAATTATGAGAATTCCTACTATGTCATTACCCTTTATTTATTTATTACTGTTGATAAAAGACGTTGCCAATTATTTACAGAGTCATCAATTTCGCATTTTCTTTGAACCTGTCTTCCCATTTCTCTGATTAACTCGTCACAAAAAGTTTTTTAATAGATACTTTGTAATTTGCTCTTAATTTCGTTTTCTTTTAGATTTCAATTTAAATTTATTCAGTCACACTTTCATGATATCAGGTTTCCCAGAGCATATAAACCGCGTAACATTTTCAAGAATCTGTTACGTGGTTTGATTTCAGGGAAAATTGATTAGTAGGTCGAGCTTTCCCATTACATAATTTGGGCACATTGAAATAGGTGAAGTTGATAGGTTTAAAAGAGCCTTTCCCTGGAATTAGCCCAAACTTTATCTAATAAAAATGATTGCACGATTAATGGATATTACGCTAGAATTTAACATGGTTAATTTAATAAATCATCAGAATAATGAAATGAAATAATATTTATTCAAGTTGACTTAATAAAAGCTCTTTGGAATCATTCTTATAATTTTATTTCGTACTGTTTGTTCAGAACATCTTTTAGCTGACAAGAAGAACAGGCGAAAGAAACTTCTCAGCCATTTATGTTATCAATTTATATTTTCGTACTCTACACAAAGTATGTTTAAAATAAAGCTTCTTCATATGAATTATGACAAACTGATAGGATTTGTTCCTTGCTCGTGATTTCTTCTGTGTGAAATTATCGTTTTCCTTAAAATATTTCATCGCCTTTTATTTTCACTCACTTTAGGTATTTTCGCGATAAAAATAAGTATATACATGTTTTTACCAAAATTCTTCAAAATTGATTTTGTATTGATGATAGGTTTATAAGGTTAATAGACAGACAGAGTTTCTTTCAAATTTATGATATGAGTTTGAACGAATTGATTATCATCATCAGCCTAAATATATAATGTCCCCACTGCCTGCTAGAGCAGAGCCTTCCCTATGGGTGGAATAGGGAGAATGGGTCACAACCCATCACGTGAGCCCAGTACTGATTGGTGAGTGTTAACAACTGAATTGTAGTCGGGACCAGCGGCTTAACGTGTGTTCCGAATCACGAAAGAGCTCGAGATAGTTTTTTTAGTCACTAATCATAAGACTGGCCGTTATGTAAGTTGCTTACTTACACGTTTGCAGACTTAGCGCACTAAACTAATGTTCACCAATGTTCAAACCATCAAACTTCTCCGAATGTATAATATCAGTATAAAATTATTGTTAAACGTCTTATTAACACAAATTGCATTGATAAATGTAAATAGCGCAACACGTCCAAGGAGTGCCTTGCTGCTTTATAATAAATTTACGTACCAAAATTTTGTAGGTAAAGTTGATTTACATTAAAATTACTTGTTTATGTAAAAAGGAAAAAGGAGCAACCTTGGAAAAGACCAACGCCCGAATTTCTTTATTCACGTACAATAAAGAAGTTTCCATTTGTAGAAAAATATCTGATAAAAATTGTTTCAAAGTAAACAATAATATTTTCAACAAACTGAACAATGTATTTCGTAAGCCACAATCCGATCTGTGTCAGTGCTTTAACTCAGTTTTAATCCGAATATAACTAACTATCTTGTCACCAGCTTAGTCTAAGGACCCTATGACAGTTTTAAATTATTATTGTTTTGCCAAATTCATAAGAGACTATTAATCCCTTATTATTTTATATCATGGTGTTGTGTTGAATCGTGTAAGAAAGCTTTTTACATAAAAACATAGGTTTCGTAAATAATAAATAAATTTCACAAATTATTATGAGAAGTATAATACAATCCTATTTCTTTATATCTTGTTGTATCTTTTATTCTCGTATTTTCATATGAATTCGTGGAATAGCCTTCAGCTAAAATTTATTTTGCTTTCTGTGACTGTAACAAATTAGCGGAGTGATTTCCAGGAAATTCAGTATAAATTACTTTACAATGTATATCATATTATTGACATATATGTAAGCTTCCAAAATAAATATCTATTGTAATCTTTTCAAATAACGTAAACGATAGTCATTTTAGAATAAATCATATACCCGTAGTCTACAGGAATAAAAAAATGTGTCCTTTGTAGATATTCAATTAGTTTAAGTGTTGTAAGAAGCATTGTATTTTTAACATAATGCCATTTAAGATAGAAAAAGAACATAAAAAGCGCCAAATGACAAGTTTTTGTATAGCTATAGAAATTCCTGTCAATATTCAACTTCAGATTAGAGTTACTTTACTACTTTTATTAGTATAAACATTGTATTACTTTATTGTAGTACTAATTATTAAATAAAATTTTGTAACCTTATTATAGCTAAGTGATGTTGAACGATCCCTCCAAATATCTTATCGAAGGCTTCGTTTTCGTCGTAATGCCAGTCCACCTTAGTATCTTTAATGAGCTTTTTCATATTTTCTAATTTGTTGATTAAAATGTCCAATTGACTAACTGAAAGGCAGATAAGATATTAATTTAGGATAAAATTTGAAAATTATAATTACTCAGCCTATCAAAGGTATTTTATTTATTAAAACAAAACGGCGGATTGTACTCCGGGAGTGCCGGCAGAAGTGAAAACATGAATATTAACGAATTAAAATGCACAAGCATTTTTGATATTTTGGAATGGTTAGGGAATAATTTTGCACGAATTTCTTTAATTATCAGTATAAAATTACTGTCATTTATGTTGTAGAATACAATATTTATTTCTTGCGCTATCGTACACAAATATGACAATTTATATTACATTAAAAAGTTTATATCTCAGAATTTCTTCCTTATTTGTATTGAGAATATTTTGAATTAAACTGAATTGAATGACAGCTTAATGACGCTGTACGAAATCAAAAAGAAAATAATGATGGGATGGTTTGGAAACAGCAGATTTGTTCATCGGTAAGTCCTTACACACTTATTACATTTCAGACATCTCCTGGGTGCGGGGACGAGGACAGGGTAGGCAACGTTCGAGTGATACTATTGTAAGAAAAGCTTTTTAGGCTATGGTGGCGTTTTAGACGCAGCGCACACCGGGAGAGGCGCGGCGAAGATACTAAGTGCGGCGACTACAAGCTCTGCCAAGAGCCTCTGAAAGGCGCATCTGTATATAATAATAAAGGGAGAAAAACGTAGCCCTTGCTGCTTGCTTCTTGATGGTTCTTCTCAGTACAAGGTCCTTCGCCGTAGATATGCGAACTGATAGCGTAGTAGGAGCTTTTAGACCTTCACCAGTGCTCGTAACAGCCTAAACTGAATAAAATATTTTTTATTTAGATTTTTGATTTTATGGCGCGGCAGTCAACTGCGATACAAAAAATATCACTCCTGCCGTTGCCTACTCGGACCCCTACCCCGGGAAGCCCTAGAACCTTACTTACCGACAGAACCACAACACCACCGAATGGTAGTGATATTTAACAGTGAAATTTTATGGTTGAGGTTACTTCCCTAGACGGGCGCTCCAATACGAACGGAAAAGTCGCTATGCCCTACTTGACTGTGTAACTTGTGTACTCTGTCTCTCGTCTTAGTCATAATGTATGAATAACTCTATATTTGACTTTATTTATATCTTCCAGTCTCTCTAGTCAATACGACGTCCAATCATAATCATACTCACCACCATGCCATTGATCAAGTGGCTTGATGAAATAGCCCTAATCAAGCCGAAATCCTTCTGACAAATGATTTGTCTTTCCAAAATGTCTCCCACGCACGGTCAGATTTGATCAAGCCACTTGTGTTAAAGCGGCGGGATATATTACACATAAAAGTAAAATAAATACTCACTAGCGCAGCACATGCAAGCCCAGCACAGAGTGTTTAGCGTTACGAATGTCGTTACCATTGCCGGTTTGTACGAAATCTGTAATCGGATAATACAAATTTTGATGCAAAATACGTTATTTAATTTTTTTGTTGACAACGTTCAAACGTTTTTTTTTTAATGTATAGGTAATATCACCCGAATCTCATAAAAACGCCAAATAGTACAAAGTAATGTCACTTCGCCAGCATGTTTACAAGCAAGTGATGTCATTTTCGGTCACGTGACAATAGCCCAAAAACTTCTTCCATTTGATGATTTTTAGTAATATTATCAACTATTTTTTTATTGTCAGAAATTATAGTGCTAGAATATTCATATTAAACACACGTGACAATAATAATTGATACTTTATTTTTTCAAACTCAAATAGTCTATTATACAGTGCCAAATCAAAAAAAAAACGTGAAGCAGGTGGATAAAGTAACATCATTAGCGGAACGATTATTCAGCCTACAGCGAAGATTCAGACACTTCGCCACGAAATCCTCGAGGACTTAAAGTTTTAAGGAAAACGCTTGTCTAGTCAAAAGTCTTAATTCTATTTTTACAGGGAACACGTTGCCGTCGCTTCGGTACTCCGTCGACGCGAGGTAAACAGTCTTTTGAAATAAAATTATTTTGTTAACAGGCATATCGTATTAAATTTGACTGTTTATTAACCAAAATAATAATTGTTGTTGAATGTAAGGTATTTCAGACGGAAACAGAGTTAGAAATTGAACAAGAATCTTGGGCATTAGTATTGTAAGTAATTAAGGCATTTAGAAAAATCGCGCTTGGTTCCCAAAGTGGTAGATTTAGATAATTGTGCTATATATATTTCCAATCATCGCCATTAGTACAGGATTTCCCTATAGATATAAAAAGGAGAACGGGGCATGGGCCTTACCCTTTTTTAAACTAACACTGGGTCTACTTTGTACGCAGAAATTTTAATGTCATAATATTATTATGCATACCAGCGGATAGAATAAATTTCATTTCGCAGAAAATCATTTGGCATTAACTCATTAAGCAGACATTCATATTTTCAAGCATATTTTTGGGAAAATTACTATTTCTCAACACGACAACCAAGGAAGTAACTTGTCAAAGTTTTTATTTAAATTGCAAACTGGCTTGCAAATAGAAAGCTGTTTATTGAAGTAGCATCATCGACCTCACATCAAGGTTTTGAAATACAGAATCACACTGAAGAGAGAGAGAGAGAGAGAGAGACAAACTTATTAGTGGGAGAGAGAGAGAAACTCTGAGCAGTACCCGGGACTTACGACCCAGGTGTAGGTTTAAGGAGGCCCCGCTTTAAGATGCGATATGCCTTAGTTACTCGTTCCAAAATTGAACTTACTGCAGTTCTCGACAGGCCTAGGTCTTTTAAAAGGTTATAGAGATTTTGCTGGTATACCTCTCGCTTCTACTTCTGCCGCATATAAATTAACTAGATTGCCATTTTTAGCTAGTTCATAGGTTAGATCGTAATATTTATTCAATTTATTGTACGGTCTTTTGGAATTTTAGTTTCCCACGGTACAGTACTATTAGTACTATATGTTTGATGTGCCTAGAAATGAGGAATATGTCCGGCCTGGATGAGGAAACACAAATATCTTCTGGTATTTTATAATGTTCCGAAAGCCTGGAAGAATGTCCAACTAGTACCCAAAAAGGGAAGTCGTGCCGACCCTGTCAACTATCGACCTATTGTAATCACCTCCATACTTTGTAAGTTTATGGAGCGTGTATTGAACAACCGCCTCCTCGCTTACCTTGACGATAACGATCTCCTCAGTGATTGCCAATTCGTTTTCCGCCGTAGGCGATCTACTGGAGATCTTCTTGTGTATGCTACCCACCTATGAAGTGAAGCCATAGAGAAACGCGGTGAAGCTCTCGCCGTTTCTCTCGATATTTCTAAGGCTTTTGACAGGGTCTGGCATGCAAGTCTCATTGGCAAGCTTCCTTCATATGAAATCGTTGTCGGACTTTGCAACTGGATTGCAGATTTTCTGAGGGGCAGATCGATATGAGTGGTCATTAATGGCACATCGTCGATTCTGCTTGGTATTAATGCCGGTGTCCCCCAAGGATGTGCCCTCTCCGCAACTCTATTCTTGCTGCACATCAATGATCTGCTCCTGACTCCCGGTATCTTTGGATATGCAGACGACAGCACAGTCTCGGGGAGATATCTGCCCGATGTAAAGTCTGCTGCAGATGTCCGATCATTAAGGGAGGCGATGGTGGAGGGAGTGAATGCAACCCTGCAAGCTGTTTCCCTCTGGGGTGAAGCCAACTTGGTTGGATTCAATCCCACTAAAATACAGGCCTGTCTCTTCTCGGCGAAATGGAGTCCATTCCATCTGACTCCGACTTTTCGAAATATCTCCGTACCGGTTAAAGACCATCTCGAGCTTTTGGGTCTGGACATCTCATCAAGCCTCAATTTCGGTCGCTACACCGAGTCCATTTCTGAAACCGCTGCTAAAAAATCTTGAAATACTTTATAAGGTCAGGCGATATTTTACTACACAAGGTTAAGCAGCTCCTTCACCTTTACCGAGCCCAAGTTCGCTCCTGCTTGGAGTACCGTTGTCACCTTTGGAATGGATCTGCTCGGTATCAGCTGGATGCACTGGACTCGGTGGAACACCGTGCGAAGAGACTCATAGGCAATGACGCTCTCGCTGAGACTAATCTCCGGAGCCTTGAACACCGAAAACGTGTAGCTTGCCTCTCGGTGTTTTATCGGTTACATTTCGGAGAGTGAGCGGAGGTATAACATAATTTGAACCGCCCTTCCCCTTTCCACCGCCGGACGACCAGGCGCTGCGAGGGTTTTCACCCTTATGTTGTCGAAGTTCCTCCCATTCGCACGAAGCAATTTGATTCCACTTTCATTATGCGAACAGCTGGGGAGTGGAACTTCTTGCCGAAGTCTGTTTTCCCGGACCAACATAATCTGCACATCTTCAAGGCCAGAGTGAACAGGCATCTTCTAGGTAGGCGTGTACCATCCTAGACTTCATCATCGCTTTCCATCAGTCAAGATTGTGGTCAAACGCATAAACGCATTGTTAACAGTGAGCGTTCTTTTATATAGTTAATATTTTTTTATTTGTAGTTAATCATTTTCGGACTCTAGCCACTGCAAGACTTGCTGATTCACGATGTCTTCAAGTACTCTATCATGGCGACGTGACTATTGACCCCTATCCTACCCCTATCTAGGAAGTGACTTTTCCCCATCTTACTAGGTTACTCTGGTCTGGGAGGGTCATTTGGAAGGCACCGAGATAGAATTTTAGTAGAGCAGAAGATTAATCATGCAGTCACGGTAATATTATCTATACAGTATTGTCACTGTGCCCTGTCCTTGAAATAACTACCTACGGCCGAGCGGGCCGTTAACACGTGGTAGGGCTGCCCGCCTATAGTATTTTAATTTCATCTACATAATTGAGTTTCTTTCTAGTTTAGTGATTGTAAACGACGTCACACAGCTAACCGTGATTTTTAATCAAAACGTGTATATACAAAATTTCAGCTCAACCGGTTGAAGATATCTGCTTCAAAATTTAGTTGCAAGATTCCACCCGAACAAACATAGTTACCTACCTATATTACAAGTT